TTAAAAATCACCTCCTACCACACCTCTCCTAGTTTAAATAGCTTTTGAAGATCCTCAAACAATTTTGGCGCAGGCCATAAAAAGACAGATCACTTCATACCGTGTTTGAATATACTTAATGCAAAATATAAAGCCAGTCAATATTTCTGACAACCGAGAGCAGTATTTCTCTGCTCTAAAACCTGAATCTTCCTGTTAATTTCTAGATACAGCATAGCAGCACGTGCTTTTAACTTCTAAAACCAGATCACATAACTCTCGTACTAGAACATTTAACTTGCAACATTCCTGAGACAGGTAAGGGAAGGCTAAGAATGGTGCAGAAAAGGACAGATCTTTTGGTGACTAGTCACAGAGACAGACACACTGTTTTAAGACTAATACCCACTTACTCCTGAAGTCTGTTACAGATACTAGTCAATACCAAATCCTAAATAAGAAGGAACAAATGAATAACAGGCAAGTAGAACTATTGTACAGTACAGGTTTTGCTGAAAATGTTTCCATTAGGGTATAAAATTAAGAGGTAAAAATCTACCTATAATGTGGGCATTGGTGTGGAGTAGAAAGACAAGTAACAAGTGGCACCATAAACAAGCTCAAAAAAACCATATGATTTGCTTTCTGCTAAAGCTTGATGACAAGGCCAATAATTCTCTAAATATAAAAATGAGCCTAAGTGTAGATTTAATCCAACATTAAGTAATAAATCTTGCTTGAATAAAGAAAAAAAAGATTTCTAAGACAATACCCCAGATACTGATTTATGCAAAGCCATGCAATGTAAATAAACATAAAGCTAAGCTACCAATTAATTGAGAAATACTATTAAACCTCCATTTTGGAATGCCTTCTAACCAATCCATCAGTATGACTGTTTTCAGACCAGAGCTGTTCACATAGTTCTTTCTTTATACTGCAAGAGTAACCAAAGACCCCTGTTAAGGCCTTACCATGCTAGATGCTATCCAGCAATACAGACATGCACAGTAGTACTGACTATTAAAAAAGTACATTAAAAAATACAGTACTTCCATCATCATGAAAAATTCTGTTCTTAAAAAAAAAAATCTATTTTCTATAACCCAATCTTCATCAACCCCAAGATTAAAGAAAACTGCCAGTGGTAGAGGTTTTATCTCTATTGGTAGTTTTGAACCTAGGATTATTTACAAATTCTCATGAAACTCATTTTTCCAGCATTTATGCCATTTTAACCGAAGTTCCCTATAGTAGCTGCCTATTCCATACAAACTGATTAAAAATAGGTATATTAGTCCTGTTAATACTATGCAGTACACCTCTGCAGAAGCGTTGGTGGATACGTACAGTGTATGCCAAAATTTGGTAGTCTGCTTTAACAGCATCATCACTTATAAGCCTGTCTATTTTACTATCATACATGAAGGCAGCCAATAATGAAGATGGAGCTGTAACAGAGTGTGAAAAGAACTTTTTGTTTATATAAAAATCATCTCTTCTGATAACATTTTTCCTGGTGGAGAGACATTGACTGATATAATACTTCAACGTCATCCGTATCACCTTAAAAAGGATACCTCTTAAAATGCCAGCTTTCAGGAAAGCATATGGGTTCCAGTTATCACAGAAAAGGAAGAGGAAACTGATAACATGCTAATTTAAATAAAAAGCAGTTTAAGAATTCCACAAAATTTTGTGCGTCTTAGTTTGGAAGTACAACACAGCTTGTTTCTTGAGGGCTTTCTGAAATTCTGTTTCTAAAAAGAGGACTCTAACACTCTTGCTTGACAGTTCCAGAAATACTGATGGCTGACATGATTGAAAGAGATGGCCTTTACTGAACTCATCTGAAGTGGCCACTCTTACGCTGAGAACAACCAGGGGCAGCAGACTGAAGAAGCAATAATTTCAAGATGCCCGTCCTTTCTCAGTGCCATTCTTTCTTCCTCCTCCGCCAAGCCTGGGGGCTTCCCAGCCTCAGCAGTAGCAGATTTCATTACTGGCAGAGTCCCTGTAGCCACTGAGCACCCTGGTGTACTCAAACTGCTGCACAGCTGATCAGGATCTTTTTGGGCTGACTAATCTTTTGGGCTGGATTAGATAAACTGCATAGTCAGATGTGGTTAATGCTGATTATCTGAACAGCGAGAGGCTGCGTGGCTCTTCTTGCCACTGTTTTAAGTCCAAATACTCATGAGATGTTTGAACACCTGAAGAGTAACCTCTGTCCAGTTGCATTTATCCCCTTTTAGAAACCAATAAAATAGCACGTCAAGAACTTTTAAAATGTTCCTGTATGACTAAACTTCAATTTCTACAATTAAGAGGTATCAAGAAATTATCTGGACAGTAAACTTTAGCATATTTTTTTAGTCACAGGACTAGTCACATAATGGAGAAACAAGTTCATGGTAACATAAAACTAGTCAGATTTGGAAACACAGTTTTAAGTATTTCTATAATAAACAGCTATTTTCAATTTATCAAAAGCATCAAAATCACAAGATTATGAAACAGTTGCTCTTTCCTTTGACACAGATTTACGCATCATGTAATAAGTGGAAAAGGTTTTAATTCCAAATTTGTAGAGAACAAAATGAGTAAGTACATGTATCACTTTTCACCCGAAATCATTTGATATACTTCCCCCACTTGGTATTCATTAAATTGGGTAGTATAAAAAGGTGACATTAGAACCATTTCACCTGTAACTCTATTGAATTGGCAAAAGGAGGTTTAAATTTAAGCTTATGTCCATCACTCATTTTAACCACTGGATGCTGAAAATATATATAGCCTCCCAAATACCTTTACTTAGTCTGAAAAAAACCTTAGCATTTACAAAAAGCTGATGCTACCACTTGGACTGCAATTCCTCAAGTTCTTTTTCATCTCTATCGATGAGAATTTCAATCTACAATCCCAGGAAAAAAGAAGCATAAGACAAAATGAAAGTATATTCTGCTCACGCGTATCATATCACAACCAGAAAACAGTCAGCTGTATTAAGTATTTTGTTATAAGGTCTTAAATATAATCTAAAATGCTGAAACTATGAATAAACATCAGCATCACATCAAATAATTGTATTTCCTTGAAAGAAAGGATAATATAATTAACACTTTTTCAGCCACTGACAAACCAGAAAATTCATAATAAAGTGAAGCCAACAATTCAAAAGGCTTTCAAGTAAGAGAAATAATCACTGATTTTAATGATCAGAATTCTATAATGTGACAGCTGAAAATGAACAAAGGAGTGTCACCTTCTGGAATAACATTAGTTTAATTACTTGTACTTTGTACCATACTGTTTCAGTAAATATACTAGGGTAAATCCATAACTTACCAATAATATTACTGTCTTTGAAATGTTACATTTTCCCATCCTGCCATACTCCTTCATCAAAACTTTTTTAAACAAGCGGATTTATTTTGGGGTAGACTCCAGTACTACTGCTTTATTATTTTTAGACTACTTGACCATGGGCAACATCTGGTCTTCTACTTAAAAGTCTGAATCAAAAATTCTTTAGGAAAAATATCTTTGTAATTACTTGAATTCAGTTCACATCTACATGAAGGAGTTAGAAGGGTAGATCCAGAAAACAGTTTGACTGGACACTCACCATAAGCTTAGCCTATACAGATCTACTTAAGATTTCTGATCTTGGACTTAACAATAATCCTACTTTATCTGTCCATGACTTTTTCCAGACAACACCAAAATTATGCCAAATTATCTGAAATGTAGCTTCAGCATTTTCTATCCTGATAGCTGATCCTTTCCTCGACTTTAAATACGCTTGCTTTTGGGAGCTGCTGCTCCTAGACCCTGGCTTCTTCATCACAGTGTGTTAAAGTCCTGAGGAGTCAGCATATTCTGACAGCAAATTGGACAAGACGGAAGGACAGAAATGAGAATGGAGGAGAGAATGAATGACGGCAAAAGAACAGGGTACAACCACCAATTATCACCTAGCATTTCTACCAGCTTTAGGCAGCACAATTGGAGAGTATACCTTTCTTACACAGAAAGTTTAAATATTTCAATTTTAGAGTTAATCTAAAAAGAAATTACGAAAGATAAAAAGCACTCGAACTGCTAAAAGGTAAACAGTTGTATTGGGTATATGTGGCCATGTGGCAGGGTTTTGGTAAGATGGGGTCGGCTACAGGGGTGGCCTCTGTGGGAAGAGGGCAGGTGCTGTCCTGTGCCTGACACAGCCCATTCCAGCTGGCTCCAAAACAAATCCACCGTAGGCCAAAGTTGAGCTCAACTTATTTGTGGCACCTCTGTAAAAACATTTAAGAGAGGATGAAAAACACTGGACAGGCTGGGGGTGGTGGTGCGGGGAGGGAGAGTGAAAAACAGCAGAAAGAACACCAAGGTCAGAGGAGGAGGTGGTACTCCACAGCACTGGAGCAGATATTCCCTGTAGCTCATGGAGGACCCAGGATGGAGCAGATATTCCCTACAACTTGTGGGAGGGCCCACACTGGACCAGATGGATATTTCCTGAAGGAACCGGAGCACATTTTTTTCCCTGAAGGACTGCAGCCCAAGAGAGAGAGCCCACACTGGAGCAGGGGCAAAATGTGAGGAGGAAGGAGCAGCAGAGAGAAAATGCTATGTACTGACCATAACACACTTCCACTCCATGCCCCCTGCACCACTCAGGGAGTGGGACAGAGGAGTCTAGAGTAAGGAATTTAAGTTGAGCTTGGGAGAAGGGGAAGGAAAGATGTTGTTTTAACATTTGTCTTTGTCACTACCCAAATTTATTTTAATTGGCAATAAATTAAATTAATTTTCCCCAAGTTGAGTCTGTTTTGCCCGCAACAGTAAGTGGTAAGCAATCTCCCCATCTTTGTATCGACCCATGAGTTTTCCCATCCTATTTTCTCCTTCTGTCCCACTGAGGAGGGGAGTGAGTGGCTGGGTGGGAGTTTGGCCCTTAGCCAGCGTTAACCTACCACACCAGTACATGTGACTGTGAGAACGATCTTTTGACTTACCAGAAGGAGCAGGTTTCTTTTTTTCTGGACTTCCTGTATCTTCCACTTCTGCTTCAGTGCTCTCATTGGTTGCAGCTGCTGCCTTTCTTTTTTTCTGAGGGGGGAAAAAGAAAGGGGAGGGGGCAACTGAACTCAAGAGCAGAAAAGACCATACAAAGTAGAAAATATCTTATCCTCACAAGGTATTCCCCAATTTTAAGCATTATTTCTTCATATATTATAAAACATCTCCAGTTGTAGAGAAAGTTTATTCATATATTAATGCAAGAATACTAGTAATAGGCAATAGACAATTTAAAAGTTCAGTTCTCCTATCTGCAGATCACATTAGGAGTTGAAATTTTTGTGTATGAAAACACAAGTTTTCATGATCAAAAACTGTTTTTTATTTACATTGAATAACTGTTACAAAAGGAGCAATCTGAAAAATCTTAAGAACACAGAAAAACATTTTACCCAAAGTTGATGCTTTTAAAAAAGCAATTACACCTCATTAAATTCAAGTTTATCTGGATCCTTGCTTCTTAAGGCTTTCTTTGCACAGCTTAAAAGTAGCTAACACCCACTGACAGTACATTATTATTTTTTTCTAATAGCAACTATGGGTTCTGTTCCAAAGAGAGGTACTTGGAAAATCTGAACTCTATTCAAGGTACATTATCTTAAAACCTCTAAATGGATAGAACTGTTATTATCTGTGTATTACAATTAATCTTGCTATTGCAAAGTATTCTTAAGGTGATTATGGAAAGATTTTTTTTTTTTAAAGCCACATAATTTTTGCGAAGGATGAGTTGACCTGTATCTGTATCAGACATAGATGATAACTTTGGTGAACATTGAGATAGTTTATCTTTTCCTTTAATTTTTTTTTTTAATTGTGTGAGACTAGAGCTTTACTAATACAGCTTTAAAAGTGGCTACAACTTCACATAGCTCATGAGAGAAGGGGAGAGTGCATTACATCTTTCCTTTCCAAAGTGTTGCTTCATGATTACCATCTAAACCCTGCTGGGCTGAACAGATTGGTTCGATAATTACATACAATAACTGCAGTGGGCAGGTAACCCTCAGCTGGCACAGGGCAGCTCCCCTGTGAGAACTTCCATATGCAAACTGCACTGATGGAGTGCATTAGGTACATCTTTCCTGCCGGTGCACAGGCCTGATTACTGCCAGCCAAGACTCCAAGGTTAGCATGTCAGCAGATTTGTGATGCATTAGGCAGGAATAAACACAGACACTTTTGTTCATTCTGACCAAAATTAAGGAGGACTATTTCAGCGCTGTACTGCTTTTATATGAGAGATAATGCATTCCTCCCAATTGTACTAGAAAACATTTTAAACGCTCATCAGAAAAACAGATATCCAATACATGCTACACAAAAGCAAAATACATTTATCTTGTTTCCAAGCTTATGTAATAAAAAGTGGTTTCTTAATCTTGATGCAGGTGAATTACATAGCAGTAGAAATCAGGCAGCATTCATCTGACAAAAGCAACACCTGCGCATCTGAAGCTGAACATTAGAAGGAACCACAAATCACTAAGATCCACGTTTTTCCAGTTTAGTTTACTCCCAATATTTCCCAGCAACTCTTCAGCACTAAACAAAAGGAAGATGTAGTCCTTGCCCTAAATAATTTAGTCAAGAGCTCCAAATACTTCCTTCAACACATGGTACTGTTAGCTTCTTGTTTTGCTAGAACTGTTATAAAATATCACACACACAAACCAACATGCATTTACTATACAGAAAAAAAAACCCAAAACAAACAAAAAACAACCTCCAGCAGAACTGTGGACTGTTTCATTTACTTATACATCTGGGGAAACTTGAGTCATGGTATAGAAAATAAAATGTTAACTTTTAATATAGCAGACATCTGTGAGTTTTAGCCAGATACCAATACTGGAGAATGACTGAGATTCCAGAACAACCATGCTTATATGCAACATACAATGCACATCGTGGCTCAATTAGCTGTATGAGCTGAAAGCACAGGAGAATCCTACATTCTAAGAATTTATTTACACAGAAGCTAGAAATATTATCTCCTAGCTATGAAATAGCACAACTTCAGAACACCAAATAACACTGTTTTAAGAAAGTATTATGGTAGATTGCCCCAAAGGAGTTGAAAAGTAGGTGTCTTAAGACCTGTTGTGATTAAAGGATCAGTACAGCCAAAATGCCATAAATGCTCTATATTAGAGGCCACCATGTTCTCAAGGGTGGATGCCAGATTGCATTTTTCTTTTCCAAATTAGACATTAAGCATGCCAAAAGAAATTCAGCATGTGCTAGAAGATACTGGCTTTCAGAGGCAAGATGCTACTGATCAATGGTAAGTTAGCTTTACGGAAAGCAGTTTCTAACAGCGTTTGGAATTTGGAGCTTATCTTTAAAACACTCAGTCATCAAGTTGAGCTTCCTGTCACAGCTGAAAATACATATAATTTTAATTAGCATTCTGTGTTCTTCCTTTCTTCCTCTATGTATCTAAGTGTCCAGCTATTCTCAACTAGCACAAATCATCTTCCTGTTCTCCTAGCCTCTCATTAATGTCTGATATCCCCTGGAAGAAAAACCTAGTAGCATGAATTGCCAAACATATATTCTGAGAAGGAAGACATCCTGCTGAAGACCCTCCTTCCATTCATTCTTGAAGAAAAGTGCAAAATACACCCTTGGAAGGAGGACTGACACAATCTATTCTTCTACCCTAGTCTACACCACAGCTGTTACAAGGCATAGAAAATCCAACATAGACGGAAGAGTCATGGGTCCTGGTATTTGGTCAAAAGTAAGCAGGCTATGTCAACCTGATTTCAAGCAAACAATCTTATTCTGTCTGGACACTCTAGCAGTAGCTGGCATGAAGTAGCGAGCATGAAGTCCACTGCAGCGTGGACAGACGAAAACACTTATTCAAACAGGACAGTAACACTTATTGTTTTATATAAGTGCTTGAACATATTTGTGACAACTGAGCAAGCTGACCATGCATATGATTCCTCAGAGTAAAAAAAAACAAAACAAAAAAACCCAAACACCCCCTCTCCCCGCACCCCACCCAAACTCCAAAACCCAGTGTAAAAGCTAACTCCTAATTGATGCTAGTAGGTAAGAACCTATGGAAAAGTATTATCCCACCCTTTGGGAATGGTCTTGACTGATAATGGCTAAAGAAATAAGATTTTGAAGTTTTATTGCATTGGAAATGTGCACCAGCCATCTCTGCTGGACAAGGACATTAAAGGTCACAGATGTTGGCTCTGCAGCAGGCCAACTTATTCAGCAAAGAAACCAGCCAACCATTAAAAATGATTTTTTTCCCCCCCAAAAAAACCCACAGGTCTCAAGCCATGTCGATCCACAGGGAACAGAAGAATTTATGCTAATGAACTCTCCTTTTGGACAGATCTTTACACTCAGTTCAGCAGAAAATATTAGTATGAAGACCATGGTTGTACGATTTTAGCCAAAGTACTATTTACTGGGCAAAAAAAGAAAGAAAAGCTGGACATACATCCCCAGAAGACTTTAAAATCCTACAGCTTTTTTTCTTTTGTGCTTTTTGCCCATTTTTAACACACTACTGATCATGTCAGTAAGCAGATAGCATTCTTGTACTATTATCCTGTATTATAATTCTCAGTTCCCTGGTTCATGCTAAAGGAACCAATAAACTGCCCACCTGTTATTAACAAATACAGATAAAAAGTAATAAATGCAGTTTGAATTACGGGAAAATAATAATAATAATGGGCCTGTTGTGATAGGGCAAGGGGTAATGGTTTTAAACTAAGAAAGAGTAGATTTAGACTAGATCTAAGGAAGAAATTTTTTATGCTGAGGGTGGTGAAACACTGGCACAGGTTGCCCAGAGAGGTGGTGGATGCCCCATCCCTGGAAACATTCAAGGCCAGGTTGGACGGGGCTCTGAGCAACCTTATCTAGTTGAAGCTGTCCCTGCCCACGGCAGGGGGGTTGGACTAGATGACCTTTAGAGGTCCCTTCCAACCTAAACTATTCTATGATTTATTGTTCCATTATTTGACCATTTTTAATTGTTATTACAAACCATTTTAACATACAATTTCCCTAAGGCTTAAAAAGTTGCTACGCTGTATTCAAATGGGAGTCCAAATCTAGAGTTTAAGGCTTCTTAAATACAAGGAATAAAATACCCCTAGCCTACCACTATAGTCAAGACTCATAAATAACATATTAGATCACAGTGAATTCAATATGTGAATTCCAGAATCAAATACTTGGCATAAAGATGTATAGTTAAAACTAAGCTTTGAACTGGTCACAGAAAGGAAACTAATAGGAAACAAAAACTAGACTTATTTTACCTTACATGTATTTTGACCCATCTGGAGTTTTACCCATTTAAGGAAAATAAGGAAATTAACTGAATGTTCATCTGTTCAAATGTCATTGCAACTATATATACACATTCTGTTATCCAAGATATTATCTGTTATGAACACCTATAAACATAATTTTGTATTAAGCTTTAATAACAATTAGTGAAGTTAAATTAGAGAAATAATGCTTAAGAGTAGGACTTAATCAAACAAATGTTTGACTACTTGCTTATTTCTTACTGCATGCAGTTATGACACCTACTTCCAATACCACTTTAACTCTTATTTAGCTCAAAAAAAAGTATTAAAAGCAGACATAAATTTTTAGAGTAAAAACCTTTTGTATGGGATTTGTTTGCAAGTCTCCATTCTCTGACAAGCCAAAGTCAAGTACTCCATCATCTTTTTGCCCAATGGCCTTAAGACCTTGCAGAAGTATTTCTCGGAAATGCTGATAAACAGGTTTCTCTTCATAGTTCAGCAGCTTCACCTTTTCCATATATTTGGCTATTTCATCTAAAGAAATAGTACCTCCAATTAATTTCTATTTGAAAACGTTTTAATCATTCACTTTTATCACAAAAGTCAGAAATTATACATGCACTACTTATGCTATTTTTTGAAATGGTTATTTATAAACTCATAATTATAACTTCACTACAACACATTTTAGAAAAAAATTATACCAAGGTTCATTACCCAGTGATGACAGCATCACTGTTTTTTACGTGTTCATTGCAATGAAGAAAACAGTCAGTCGTAAAAAATGTAATAGGCTGATCTTCACCAATGAATGTTTGTTTACATGATATTTCTTATGTCTATATTTAAAAATGTTGAAAAGGAAACTCAATGTTATCTCAGAACTTCATCAATTTAAAGACTGAATCAATTAAAAAAAAATACATGAAACGTTTGACCACTGAAAAACCAGACAAGTTACACTTGACAGAGAAAACTCTCTTCTGATCACCAGGAGTAGCAAGTCACACTTGACAGAGAAAACTCTCTTCTGATCACCAGGAGTAGCTGGAAATAACTATCTAAGTTTAAGATCCCATGAAAGTGTATTTCTAATAGAGTCAGGTTTAAAACAATAATCTACTCAGCAAATCAGCAATGCCAAATAGAAAAAAATCTAGACTTCAAGTTCGCATTACTTTATATTTTGAATCTCTAAAATTCAGTTGTGAAAAATCAACTTACATATTTCATGTTTGCAAATACTTAATACTGCCTTTAGTCAGAAGCAGAGCATCTGCAGTTCATCTAACCGCAGCCAAAAGGAAGATTCTAAACTTCTCCTAATCAACAATCTAATTCATGCCACTTTGTTGTTGCTGATAAAAGTCAGAAGAAAAATAGGTACAAACTTAAGTAAACAAAGAGGACTTAAAGAAGAAACAGATTAGAGCACAATGCCTGAGACACACCTCTCAGGAAAAAAAGCTGCTGACAGTCTGACAACTCCTCACCTTTTGCAGCAACTGAATTGATCTGGTTTTATTTGAATAGAGAGTAGCACAGCCTTCCCTTGTATGCACTCAACGTACACCACGTAAATACGAATTTCAGAGCTTCTACCCACTGTCTAAAGTTGTTTACAATTTGGTGATGGCACCCAGATTGATGGATTTTTTTTTTTAAGAAAAAGGACATTAAAACAAATTATTAGAGAACGCTTACCACATGGTACAAACCAAAGTATTTTAATTTAAAATAGCTTCTCTTACCTGGTTTATTTTTCCCAGGAAAGCATTTGTCCATAAAAACTGAAATATTATCTCTACATCTGAAAAACAAAATTATTCAAAACTATTGTTTCTTTCAAAGTTTGAATCTTGCCCTGTTCTGATAGACTTCCTAAGTACCTAGCTTGGGCCACTGTCAGAGAAGGAAACGCTACTAGATAAACCTTTGGTATGACTTAGTACAGCCATTTTTAGGAGTGCAGTACATTTGAGAACCTGACGAATGCCAGACAGGCTGTCTGAAATACAGTAAGTTTTTGTTGAACAGTTTTTGATTCCTATAAAAGCAAGCAAGTAGAAGACTGAAGGAAAAGAACTGGTCCATTTTAAACCCTCACATACCAATGCTCTCACCTCTCCCTGCTAGAGGACTCTTTCTCTAGCTGATATTATTCAGAGCAGATCCCCTGCCAAAATAATAAATGAGGTGAAGCGGAGGAACCTTCGCTAACAGTGACGGAGGCCGAAGTGTTAAAAATAGAGATAAGGAAGCCAGATAACAAATACTTGTTAATGGGACAGAAACTGCTGCGCCAGGACAGCTTTCTTCATATTAAATATCTGACAAGAGAGGGTTGAGCAGGGGTGGGGGGAAGACAAAGGAATGTGACAGTGAGGGAGAGAGACCAAAAAAAATTATTTTTTTTTTTTTTTAATTCCCACATTAGTAGCCCTCTAGCTGGAACGATGCTCCAAGACATGTAAGATCCACTTTTAGCTCTCATCCCTGCCACTGACTTCAGAGCATGGTGTTATAAAGGCTACTCATACTCCATGCTTCAGTTCTCTTTCTGTAAAGCGGGACTAATGGTTACCTGTATACTGATAAGAGTACTTTTTGGCTTAACCACGGCAGTATTCTAAAGTGACAGTACTGTGGTGGATAAACAAGCATCTCACATATGCAAAAGAAGAGAGAGTAGAACAGTACAAGCAACGTTTAATTACAAGCCAAGGATACATGAGACACAATGAAGGGAAACTGTGGGGTATACAAAACAATAGCCTACTCACCAAAAGGGAATATACTGAAAGTACAAAGCATTTCTACATTAAGACATTTTCATTCCTATTTTTGATTTCAAAAGAGAAAGAAAACAAGTAGTTTCTCACCCGATTTTTGAGTCTCTGACAAAATTTGGATCTTTCAAATTATCTTCCCACGGTAGATGGCCACTAAGCCAATGAATCATACAGTAACCCAAGATCTCCAGATCACCACGTCTCGATGGTGCTAAATACATATACACACATTAAAAAAGAACAGTAAGAGCAGCTAATAAGGCACATATAGTTTAACAACAGTTAAAATTTGTAAATATGTTGAGACAATAGAAAGCCAATGCTAACAATGTAACACTACTCTATCTGTTACTTATTTCCTTATTTTAGAGTGAAAGCAAGGAACGAAAAAATATTGTTTCTACATCTGGAAGGGTAACTTAATTTTCAAGTCCTTTATCAATCTCTTTCTTCTACTGAAGGATATGACATGCTGCAGTTATCCCAATTTGGGGAGCTTTTTAAGTACTCTGATTGTGGAAAAAATAGAGCAAATTAGTGAAGTGATTGACTTTGTTCAAAACAGTTTTTACTTCCCTTCTTCTACAAAAAGGTAATAGTGCTAAAACCACAGCTCCTGAAAAAAATATTCCACGATACTGAAATATTTTATGTGGCCTGAAAACTGAACAGAGGACAATCATAGATCGGATCCCTAAGCCTTGCCAAAAAAACCCCAAGAAACACCCTAGAAGTATAAATGGGCAAATCAAGTCATCTTTGTTCATGTTCAGTTTTAAGCACAGGTGCAACAGTTCATCCTGAAGTAAACAATAATTTTCAACAACTGACATTTTTGCAGGACACATTTTTATGCTAATTAAACAAAATTTAAGAATGAAGAAAATAAAATTGGTGCTCACTAGAAATCCTCAGTGTTTAATCAGACATAGACCTGTTCTTTTCATGTTCAACCTTTTCTCACTTCTTGCCTTTTGATATTCAGTGACTATAGGCATAATTATAATAATTATGAAATAATATTTCATAGTTAAATGAAGTTTTGTTAAAAAAATCTTCTAAATATTAAGCCGTAAACAAGATAAAGAATATTGCCAAATATGAAGGAACTATGTTCACATTGAAAACAGAAACTATTTATCTCCTGAAAACAGGGCCTGTTTTTCTATCAAGAACTCATAAGCACTATTCCATTTCTATTTAGTTAATAAAAAGCAATACACTAAAAATCTTAACAGTCTTTATAAATTAAGGAAATCTATTTAAGAAAGTTGCATTAAAATACAGTAAATTAATATCAAAGTAAAAGTTAGTAAATGGAAAAAAAGAAAAATGCCAGCATAGTCCACAGAGAAGAAAAAAAAAATTTTTATAGATTCAGAAACCCGGTTGTTTACAAAACTCAATGCAGCAAATAAAGTCTTTTGTGTTAATAAAAAGGATGCACAAATGCCTACTGCCGAGAACGAAGTTTTATATCCTTACCCACACCCTTGTGTGCATCAATACTGGTATATTCAATAGTTCCGTCATGACACCTTTTAGGATCTTCTTTATATACTTTGTGAACTCCTTCAGGACAGTATCGGTAGGCCAGTCCATAATCCACCAAGTACACCTAGTAATTTCCACAAAGAATTCTAAGATTTAAGAACTATAAATACAAAAAATACGCAAATAGATGTAACTCCCAACCATTCTCAGAACTTAAAAAGTATTAAAAATGGTGAGTTTTTTTACTTTAAATGATCCTTTCTCAGTGCTTTATTGAGATTACTACATATGATTTGAAAACAACGTCTGACAGGTTTTGTTGTTTTCCATATAGCAGTCTGACCTGGAAGCCCTTTCTTGCTGATGCAGAGGACAAGTACAGTAAAATAGTCTGTTATTAACCATAAGGAAAAAAAAAAAAAAAAGACATTCATAGAGTTATAAATACACTTACTGTCCTACCCCCTTTAAAGTCAGCTGTCCCATTTGAACGCTACTACATACTATTACTTCTCACTAACACCACAGTTACTTTAAGAGAATGGAGATTATTTTACTTATTTCACGAGCTAACACATTTGGGCAATAAGACATACGTAATTCTGAAAATATGCATTGTTTGAGTAGTAAAGAGAGTTAAAAATACAGAAAAATGAAAGACACCGGTAAATCAAGTGGAACAATCAACACTTTAAAGACCAATTTTTACAAGTAACAGAACACTTATCTGATGGATTTCTTGAACAAAGGAATGAGGTAATGATGCAGACAGGCAAACATAATTTACCAGCGTACTATGTAATTTTAAGCTTCCACCTGCAAATACCTATCTGCGAGGCAATTTTTTTTTAATCTTGAGAATTTCTCTAGAATATTATTTAGGGCAAATAGTCAATTTGATAACTGTCCAGCAAAATGCATAAAAAAAATCGTAGAATATTAACTAGATATAAATGTCAAGCAGAAATAATGTTACCATATACATTCTTAAAAATGAGCTTCTGCTAGATTTCACAGGTTCAAAGCACTTCCATGTGTTGTCAAATAGAAGGTTTAAAACATGAGGAATAAAATGCATCAGAAATACCTGATTAGGGTTCTTGTAACTCACAAGAAGGTTTGAGGCCTTGATGTCTCCATGCACATATTCATGCTCATGGACGTATTCCAGAATATCAAGCTAACAAAACAAAATACAATCATATAAATGCAGTACCCAGCTCCACCCAGCAGAGGACCTGTACTCAGCACAAAAGTGTGATTTAACTGAAAGACTTACACTGGAAAGCCAGATGTTAAAAATATAATATAATTTTTAAACTTACTATTCTCAGGCCTAATTGTAGTACGGTTTTATGGGAAAATCGCTTTGCATTCTCTTCATACATCTTCTGAAGATCTCTGCCAAATCGGTCCATTATCATAAATCGATAACTAAATTCAAGGAAAAAAAAACAACGGTGAAGTTACTGAATTGTACTTAGCAAAGTACTTTATGTGTTATAATTGTACAAATTACTGATTGAAAACATCTCTCTCAAAAGATAAACTGCAGGTACACAGAAAACAAATATATGGGAAATACTTGACTTTTTTTAATGTTGTACACCAATTCTTAACTTTTTTACATCAGCTAGTCAAAAGTTCGTCCATCAAAAGAACTGTTCTTTATTCCTGACTAGTTATGCAATACAATAACAAGTACCCACAGAGGAAAATATCTGTATTGTAATTCACTATAGGTAAACCCAACCATCAATTACTTACAGAAATATATTTTTTACTTTATAAATGACTAAGTGACTTAACCTGGTTACTTAAAAAAGTTAATTTCTTCAAATATATTACAACCTTTTTTTTAACCTCTTATTAAAAAGAAAAATCTCTCACTTGCCAAAGGTGTTCTGATATTCATTGCTATAGCCAAACTGGTTCTATTACTGTAAGAGCTCATAGTAGCTATATTAAAGATTCTCATGCATGAAACACCAAACGCAAAGAAAAGTTTATCTGGGCAAAAAAAAAAATAATTGTGTTGTATTTACTTTTGCCTCTCAAAATTAATGTTGCTTTTACATTAGATTAGTTTTAAAGTTGAGGACCTGCTGAAACAATGATATTTCTGACATACTAGGGCATACATACCAACTGCCCTGTGTAGTGGTCCACACAAAGAAGCCTGACCTACTATAAGCTGCCAGAGAACTACTAAAACTTCTTGCAGCATAGCTGTATAGAGAAAGCCCACTAGGAAACAAGGACTGTTACATAAACAGGCATACCATTCAAGACCAAGTAACAAAAACCCTTCACGACATGGAACAATACTAAAAACTATCCCTAGGCTTAAGACAAGTTTAACATGAAACTAGCAATTATTCTAGCTCACAAATTAAGTCAAAAAAAACCCTGTCCCTAGGGAAAATAAAATACATTTAGAGAGAGCACTAAGTCCTTTATAAGTGTGAGTGAAAATACTCTTTAAGTGCACACCACACGAGAAGAAAAACTTTAAAAGGTAGTCATATTATTCAAGGACTTATACATTAGAAGTCGACTTTATTTTAATTCAAATATGAAAAGCTTCTAAACCACATATATGTATCATCACTGTATTACAGCAATGTTCTAGACAAATGAAAACTAAATCACTAAGGATGTAATAGACACAAATACGAGTAACAAACGAGTACAGATAAAATGTACTCTTGTAAGTACTCTTGTAATGTACTCTTCCTTAAGCACACCCTGTTATGAACATGAAACTTTGTAGCAGAAATTAACAACATGAAGGTAAGTGGAAAATACATCTTATAAAGTAAATTAGGTTAAAAGGGATAGCGGTTGTGGATTAAATAAATCCCAGTATATGCCAACAAAAGGTATATTCACCTGTTTCCATTTTTTTCATGCAAGCCAGAACCCCAATATCTTGGTACACCTAAATATTTCAGTTTATGGGACTTAGTCCACTTCCGAACTGAAAATACAAATAAAGATAAGTTCATGAATTCGCATCAGTAGAGACTTACATAAACAGGGAGTACTCGCATCATTTACAGTTTCTGCATACATGTGAGCTGCTTATTTCATGGAAATTTGGATGCCAAGTATACTGGAAAGTTAATGATGCATCCGTTGCAGAGACAGAGATGCAACTAAAATTTTGATTTACACAATACCACCAACACAACTATAAAGAACATCTTACCAAAAACCCCTAACTTTACTATATGTCTGAATTAGATTTCAATCATTTAAAAATAATTTTGAAAATGACCTAAAAAGATTCTCTTAAAGTTCGACCTTGCTCCTGTAGGCTCTATTTTCCTAATTGCTTGTAGTTCATTGAAAACATTTTAATAGACTGCTTACTTTCATCTGGCTTAGCAGCTCGCATGTAGAACTTTAACTCAGTAAAAAGAGGTCCATTCTGGCTGGGTTCCTTTAAGACAATTTAAAATTAGTTAAAAACTGCTGTGTTAGTGCCTAATAATTATTAAAAGCTCACAAAATGTAACATTCACCCTATAAAAGCATATTCTCCCTCAAACGCTCTACCCAGTGCTGATAAATTCAATAGAATATGTTCTTTTTATCAAAGAAGGTTGGCTCTAAAAAGTTATTATAAATTGCTTAACATTAAGGGTATCAAGGAATCCTTTCCCATAACAAAAGAACAAAAAATAACAAATTAACTGAAATGTATAGAATTACCACCAATAATTGGCTGCAAAAGTTTAGTAGAGAACATTAAACAACATTCATTATCTCAGATTTTCCAGATTAAAGCTGGGTTGCATCAGTTGCAATAGCCATTAGTAAGCCTAAAATAACACCTGAAATGATTTGATGGAAAAATCTTAACAAAAGTTAAACTCTTGCTGAACATTAGGTATTTTGCTCCCTTCATACCTTAGTTGATCAAGGTAAAAATTACAAAGGATTTCACAATTTCTCTTAAATTAAATTATAAGAACTACGCCTATTTTGACTTCAGAGTCTACCTTGTATTTAAGCTAACATAAGGTATTTCAGTTCCATTTTCTAGGAACAAATCTATGGTAACCACCTATTACAAGTAAAGTGCAAGAGAGAAATTGGTTTGAAAGCACCAAAGCTTTGAAATACCGCAAGAATTGCAAACGGGCAAGTACCTTGACTCTACATTTCCAGAACTTAGCACAGAAAAGAAAAAAAGTGATTTCAACTCTTGCAATTTTTAAGTGATTGATTTTGAAATAAGCTTAAGCAATTTATTTTAGTCTAGTTCCTCATATATGTCCAAATTCATTCTATCTCAGTGAAAATACCTGGTTTGGAATATCCTACACTTAAAAAATCTAACCAATAAAAAATTTAACCAAAAAGAAGTATGTGGTTACTGGCAAAGAAGCCCAGAAAGAATACAATCACATGATATTAGCAAAAGTTCCAAGATATACAACATCAATCTTAAATGGTTTTAATTGTAACTTTTAAATGCAGATGTAGTGATCCAGAAAATTGCTAAAGGCCAGACTGTACCATTCAGCTAACAGAGGTTTACTGCTGTCCGACAGTAACGAAGCAATGTAAAGAGATCCAACACACTGATGAACGTGGGCTTTAGCGTGCATCTGATGTATTGGCTCAGAGTAGGAAGACCGGTCAGAATGAGAGCAGACACCAGCTTAGGCACCACTCCTAGGCCTGGACACTCGATTATAAAGCTACTGCCTATCTCCACCTCACTTTCTCCAGCAGCGTTGCCCTGATAAACAATAGAGCCAAGACAACAGTTTTCTGGCCCCTCCTTGTGGGGCCAACGCTCAGACTTAAGCTATGAACCAGAAAAAAAAAAACCACCTAGAGCAACTGATCAATGCACATAAACTTTGGTACATGCATATTTACTTTCAGTAAGTTTATTTATCCACTATGGACAACTAATTAGTGATACAGAGTTTATATATACAAAGGAGAAGGGTTAAATAGCTGAATTCTTATACCGCAGTTATCTCGAACAAACGTTACTTGACCTATTCACTTGTTTCTGTGTAGCATAATCCATTAACACTCTAACTTAATTAGAATATAAATTATACATACTATTTTGATTCCATTTACATAGGTTTGAAGAATGTTATTTTCTTACTAAAACACAGTGAAAAACTGTAGGTGCTAAAAATCTTAAAATATCACTTGTTTCTGTGTAGCATAATCCATTAACACTCTAACTTAATTAGAATATAAATTATACATACTATTTTGATTCCATTTACATAGGTTTGAAGAATGTTATTTTCTTACTAAAACACAGTGAAAAACTGTAGGTGCTAAAAATTCTTAAAATATTTATCTTTAAATAAATTATTCCACAAAAAATTATGTCTCAGTGCTGAATAAAAGATATATCTTTCTCTAGTCGGAGCAAATGCTGAAAATCTGGTATCTTTTTGTACTTGAGGGGATGGATAAATGATTTAACCATAAAACAGATCTTCATGTTGACTATGAAGCTGTTCCCCCCCAATACCATTAATTCTACATACAGATAAATAAACGCATACGCTATGTTAAAAAGGCTCATGTAATGAGGTCCAATATTTGCCATACTAGACATCTTATAATACACTAAAACCAGAAAGACTTCAAACACAAATTTCTACAACTTTATGCCCAGGGTCATTCTAAACACATGATTTGCAAAACTGAAATTAAAGTCTAATTAGAAAAGATATCATAACGAAAGAGATTATGGAGTACGTGTTGAAACCCAACAAATTTCTTCAAGTAGTATTTTAAGAATTCTGATCTTTTTCAGTCAGCAATTTAATGAAGTGTTATTAAACTCTGCATCCACTCCTGAACAATGGCATCTGAAAGGTCCACATGTTAAAAAGCATTTCTTTTTTTAATAAAAACTGTGATTCATTTCGTACTGCTCAGACATCAATACTATGAGGATATGTCAAAGACTAAGCCAATTTCCATCCCGCTTTAATAGCTTAATTTGAAGAACACTACTACAGAAGCACATATTTTGTTAAACACTAATAATTGTTCAAAGCTGTTAACCACTTTGCTTCAGCTGATGGATCAACTAGGAATCACCGAGGCATCAGAAAATAGGCCCTTATCCATAGTTGTGTTATACTAGACTGTAGAGGCATAATATGTTATGGGTCATTTGTGAGGGCAGCACAAAGACTGGGGCTACTCTTTATTGCCATAAAGACAAAATTATAAAAGACAAATTAAAAATGAGTAGTCATCTGGGAGATTAGCAGTGGGGGTATTTACAGATTGCTGCAACAAAGCGAATCTAGCATAAAAGCAACCCAAGAGTTACAACAACTCTTCTTACATTGAGAGCCCAAAGTGGAGGAGAGAAGCAGATGGACAGGTTTCAACCTCAGGGAAAGAGGAGGATAGCAATTACACACAGCATAAAATAATGCATATCTGATGATTTTCCAAGCAAGTCAAACTGGATTCTCCCATGAGAGTTAAATGGCGCTCTGCTTCCTGATCAGTCCAAACTCGGCAGGAGCCAATAATTAGGAGCCAATGCCTCTCATAGGCAAGCCACCGCTGGTAACTTGAATGTCTGTTATCTGCCTCTAAAACAGGCCACAGCTCCTGCGTAATGGACACCCCCTGCCCTCGATGGCACAGGTTGGGCATACAAAAGCAGGTTGCCACCATGCAACAGCTGCAGGCTGGGGCTCCTGGTCTCTGTGGAATTCCTGCCCACAAACACCTAAGGCAGCAGCAGTACGCTGATGTTGAACGTGTGGTAGTTTGCCATTTGCATCATAAGCAGTGCTTTTTTCAGCAAGTGACAACATTTCGGAAAAAAGGTCATCACCAACAGTATCTTGGGGTGTCTGAACAGTATCAAAACCAGTACTCTGGAATTTCCCTGTAGTCAGCAGATATAAATATCAAGATTAAAGGCACATACTAACTAAAATGTATTTTATTTTCTAAATTAACCTGATCTTTTAGTTTCAGGAACAAATGTTAAAAGTATTAACATATTTACATAAGTGGACAGCTATTGCGGTAAAGCATTCCAGTATCGCCATATAGTTTAATAAATAAAAGATTAAAACATTACCGTTCTGAACTGTGCTGAAGAACTTATTTTTTACATTGTGAAGTTCTTGTACAGTTTTCTGCTATTTGCTTTTGTCACAGGACCAGAAGTACCACCAAGATAATGAATGGTCTGGATCTACTATGGTCCTTCCCATATTCCCAGGTTTTTTACTAAGACCTTACCAGGGAATCATATATAATAGTAGGATCTATACAAAACAATCTAGCAAAATTTAAGAAAAAATACTTTATACCTTAGAAAGAGAACATTATTGCCAATTCAAGTTAAATAAATCTTTTTTATTTTAAGATTAAAAACATAAGAAAATTTCAACTAATAAAAAGAATTTGCTGATTTGCTACAATGGGCTAAAAATGAGCTATCAACAATGCTTTTTCTTCTCTCTAATCATTAAGTTAAAAAAAATTATGTGTCAATGCCATTTTAATTCAATAGAAATTAGAATACATATGTGTTTTATGATAAAACATTTAAAGGACTTCATATCTGTGGGGACCTCGGGAATCAAAGTTTTGCTGTTTCCACTCCCAAGCCATCTGTCAGCTTACCAACATCCAGTGGTGAGCAACAGTTCACACAGACTCACTGCTGAATCACAGAAATTCTCCAAAAGCTAGCCAGATTTCATTCATTTTGTGATATTTGGGCTGTTTACAGGAAGCAGCAAATGAAACAGAATCTGATCCATTTCATGAACGTTTTTCAACTCCGCTGATGTTCCATTATCCACCCTCATACATACGAGTCCCAATTCTCAGCAGCGTTCCTCTATATCACCACACTTTTATTTTAAACAGCACTATGCAATTGTATTATTTTCAGCCAGATGTTTTAAATTACACATGCTATTCTAGAACAAACATTTTCAAGTTGTGAAGTAAAGATTCAAATGCTCTCTTACCACTTTTGCAACATAAGGTGCATCACTGCCAACTGACTTTGAAGAATTAACATCAGCTGTTAAAAAGGAAGCATTTATTAGTAGTAGGAGAGGAAACTGTCACAAAACATACACTTATTTGTTATGCAGCATGGACAAACAAATGACAAAGCAATTAAGTACTGATGTGAACATATATCAGTACCTTAGACTTTGGTAAGAGAACTACTCTATATGGCAAGACTACTCTATATGGGTATGGTCTTGCATTCTCCATTCTGTTTGAGGAGAACAGGCAGTTTACTAAATAAAGTAGTTCTTTTTTATTATTCAGTAACTTTTTTCTAGTCAATAGCATTTCTTTCCTTTTCTAGGACTGTGATAAACATACATAGTGGACATAAAGATGAAAAACACATTCTCTCTACTATTTTGCCCTGTCACGTATTCAAAAGTGACTTCCTGTTGCTACTAAGCTGTTGATATTTGTGACAGAAGGAGATACAGGTATGAAGGACATCAAGTTAGGCAAACACGAAGTACAGGAACAGTCAGGGGCACAGCTTTGTGCAAATGATGGGGAAGCAGAGGGCAAGCTTTGGCTTGAACAAAGCAGGAATTCTTAATGCAAAGAACTGCACAATTTGAGTGAACTGGAACTCCAGTCTCAGTAAATTTAGTAGCTCATTGAGCAAGGCTGAGTAAGTAATAGAGAGCTTCTTTGGCAAGAAGCCACCCACTGCTCCTGTTTTTCTTCTTAATCCACTTATGCTGCAGTCTGTTCATTTTGAAAGCAGGACGGATTATTAATTTTTTTTTCAACTCAGCATGAATTCAGCGCAACTTTTTCCACCAAGAGGAGGAAGACCATAAATGCATAGCAAAAGAAAACCTTATTATCACGACCACATTAACTTTCATCCCTTCAAAATTGTTTGGAAAATAACTAGGGGCAATCAAATTTTTTTTTTTTTAATTCCCTGACGTATCCTCAAAACCTCTCTTATCTGTTCATCTGTTCAAATAACAGAGATAATAAGTATAGAACACTACCCACTAAAAGAAGTTTGCCTTGAATTCAAACAAACAGCATTGCAAAACAAGATCTGTGCTGATGTTTTAAACTGCAAAGTCCAAGATTTCCATTTGTTTTGAGCATTGGTTACATAAAAGAAAGTATATGACTTATGTCAGAAGTTCACAAGGCAATGAAAAATTCAAAAGCAGCACCAAAGTCAAAACCAGCCAAAAACACTGGCTGATCAGTAGCCCCCATAGAATATGCTTAAATGGTTTCAGTTCAGAATTTGTGATATAAGGACACTCATGCAAAAATCCCTTCTTTCAGCCAGACCAAAAATCAAATTTAAATAAATACTAAACTATCCTTTCACTGCTAAAAAGTAATAAAGATTTTCACTTAAAAAAAATGAATGAACTACCACTGGAATCTCATACAACCGCAGTGCTTACAATGGCCATTTGTCCACTCTTGTAATTTTTTTCCCAACACCATGAACCAATCTAAGGTTCTAGTAAAAAAAAAAAAAAAATCACTTGAAGACACCCTGCATTTCTAACTTAGGATCAATTTTTCATTGCTTTGAATAAGGATAAACATCTCACTCTCCATTTTAAAGCATTATCCAACATAACTACACTTACCAAGGTACAGGCGTCCAAAGCCTCCTTGCCCTATAGGGACACCTAATTTCCATTCTTTTCTTGATGTATCTGCTAGAACCTCCCCCAGAGCAAACACTTCAGCAAGTTTCCTTTTTGCAGGGGCTTTTTTTCCAGCAGTCTTCTTATTACATGGCATTTTCCCTGGAGGGAGAGGAGGGAAGGGAAAGAAAAAGAAAAATAAGTGTAAGTTACATGCTGACCAGACTTATTTTATGTAGAAATCTGTTAGAAGCATGAAAAAGTACGGACTGTTCAAGTTTTAATCTGTTACTACAAAGATACTTTAAAAGAAATATAGTAAGTAGTTTCATTGGCATGAATTCTAAGTAAAAAACAACTATTTTTTCCAGGCATCACAAAAAAATTTGGCAGCAAAAATCTTCACAAGAGAAACCTATTAGAAGACCTTGTATAATACATGCTAGAAAAATCTCAGAATCTATCGTACTCAATCAATCACAACCAAGTAGGTCTAAACTTAGAAAAAAGTAAACTAAAGAAATAAAGCCCATCACTTTTCCTGGAGTGAAACTTGCTTATTGAAGAAGTGTCATATAGTCCAAGTCCTCAGTAAAAATATGAGGAATTCCTCTTAGCTGTAAAAAAAAAAAAAAAAATTAAGTGATTCAAACAGTTAATTATTTTTTCTCCTATATAACTGCAAACAACAAAAATGAAAGTCTTATTGTTCACAGGGCAGCATGGTACAACTGGTACCTAACTACCTATTTTGAGAACATAAATGTAAAAGTATTACCGTTGCCTTCTCCCAACCTCAGGTCTCAGATAAGCAGTATTTCAAGAAACAACATAACAGCCCACTGGAACCAAACAAGTGCATCTTTCTGCAGAACAGGCCTCATTTTGAGCAAATAAATGTTTTGAGATTTTAGCAGAGCCAGATTTTGATTCAGTAAAAGAACTTACTGAATATGTGGCCATGATATGGCAAAGAGTACACTCGATCTCTTTACATGAAAGGCCTTCATGATTTGTTTTGCAAATAACTGATCTTTCCCTCTACCTTATGAAGATAAAAGGCATACAAACAGACACACAGTTATTTTCTAAAAGATACCATTCTGACTGGTGGGATTTTATCATTATTATTATTTTATTTTGCTTGGGGAAGCAGGAAGGAATAATAATACACAATTCAGGAAGTTTCTGGATAGCAAAGTATCTTTTTCCCATTAGTCTAGCTACTCAATACAATAACCCTAAGTCAAATGCAGTTACTTAACATCAATTTCCTCTTTTAGTTCTAATGTTCCTCTAGGACTTTTTTTTCATTTCTCAAATAGAAAGCCACATAATTATGACAGCTGTTCCAAAAGCACTCCACCCTCTACAAGCCTCTTTTCTGACTGGGTAGTATCTTCAAGAAATTTTCTTCCCCAAATAATGTCTATCACCCAATTGACATCTGAAGAGAGCAGCCCATACCCATTACTCTACTTACTAAATGCAAGAATAACTGTCAAGTTTCCTGAAAATGTTATTCTGTCCGCTAATACTCAAGGTTGCAGCTGTGACTGACCAAACCCCTAGGGGCAGAATGTGACTCAATAAAGCCCGACAATGCATGGAACGCTCCATGGAGATGGACAACAGTGATGTGCCCAAGGAGCTCACTTTAGCTCAACACAAAGGGGACAGGTGGGTGGCTTTTGTTGTAGGTAAACAGCTAAACAAGAGTTGAGTGGAGCTCAAAATTGTTGAGTGGATCAAATGGCGGTGTAAATATCTCTCTGAGTTAGCCAGGCCAGCACAGGGGGAGTGAATAAGAGGCTCAGCCCAACATAAAAGTATAAAAACTAAACAACTAGCAAAAGAATTTCAACGAGAGCAATGGGCTTGAGCTGATTTCAACCGAGGTATTCGTTCCCTGTGTCACCAGTATGGTGACAGTGAGTGCATTATAGAGACCCGTAACGAGAATCACATCAGTATTGTGACTGAACTGTGTATTGCAATTGCTGTATTTTGCCAAGTGTAACTTACATTTGTATTGTTTTCAGTATATTTTGTATCACTCTCCTAAATCAGAAATCCCATATAGCATCAACTATCTTCAAGTAAGTAAATTTGATATTAAATATTACACCCTCCATACATGGAAGATCTAAAAGAACCTGGTACGAGAGTATTGGACTTGGGCACCAAGCAGTCTGCAGACACCACAGTCATTCAATATAGGAATAATTGCAAAAGAGAAGGTGTATGATTCCATGCCAAAGAAAAGTTCTGCTTTTTCAGGGTCCTTATTAATCTGAGAAGTGTCTCTGTGTCATAGAACCACATCTGAACACCCACTGCGGTTAAACGAATAACTTCAACAAAATAGTATTATGAAATACTCACATCACAGGAAGCGACTGATATTTATCAACTTACATTGCACAAGCTTCCTCATTATCACAAAACAGGATGTTTTAATTCTGCATTACTTTCCCGTATTTCCACTTACTTCTCTACAGTAACATTCTGCCCTACAATCAAGATACAGTTTTGACATTTTAAACTTAAATTTTAAGACTAACTTTACCCCCAACTTTATCCATACCCTGTCTTCCAAGAAAATCCTCTCTTTTCTCTTTTTTTTTTTTTTTTTTTTTTTGTTTTTAAGACTTCAAGGTGATACATACTGTACTGTGTTAGAGGAAGGTTCTTCCTCCAGATTTTCTACAGGAAAAAAAATGAGATTTCCAAGCACCAAATGCAATTCCAGCTAGCTCATCTAAGACCACAGCAATGAGAACATAATGGTGTCAAAGCGCCAGAAGGAACAGAATGGTAGGAACGGCTACGTGTTGATACCACTTACAAGAGCAGGCCAAAAAGATCACAGCAGACCTTTCAGCAGGTTCTCAGGACACCCAGATCAGGAAAAGGATAAGAACAAAGGACAGACAGAAACCCTTAGAAGTGCTAATGGGAAAATAAACCAGAATTCTGGAGCCCCAAGACTGACTCAGATAAGGAGAAAAAGAAAGCACAAAAATCAGCAGTGTTGCCTAATGATTCAGATGTGGGACTAGATCACACTCACTGGCGTCTAAAGGGTACAAAAACGTATACAAAATGAGCATACTGTCCTCAGGCTAAGAACAATGTAAGAGACATGAAGAGGGCTTGAAGGACTGCATCCCTTGACCGCTGAGTTACTACAAATAGCTCCAGCGAGACTTGGGACAGATGCACTTAGGTGCTCGAATGCTGGACAGACTGCTGTCCAGTAAAAGAAAAAATTGTAGAAATTTTTCAATAAAGCTAGCAAGCCAGTGAAAAAATCATGGATAGGCTTCACATCTTTGATATTCACAGTGAGTCTCTTGATAGTAGCCTCACTTAAAAGGGAGTTAAGTTTACTTAAAATAGCTCCTCAAGAGTATTAAAAAAGGAGCTGGCGTTTCCCTCTTTTTTTTTTTTTTCTTTTTTTGTTTAACATGGTCAATAATTGTATGCCTGAAGGTATTTAGTTAAAAAAAAAATTAATGACAACTTCCCTTTATCCATAAAAGCAAAAATTCAAAATGGACATAAGTTTGAACGTCCCCAGCTGGGAACCCTGCCCTTAACAAATACACTAGATACACATACATGGTTTCTTGGCTGTCTATATTCATATCCATCTGTTAAGATGGCACTGTGCCTACTTACAAGTTGGTCAAACTATCAGTAGGCCATAGGTGCCAAACACTGATCGCTTTCAATGGATAGCATGCACAATACTAAGCACTCACTCTTTTGCAAAAAAGCTGTTATCCATGGAAATATTTAAGCAATGGCTGCACATGCTTTCACATTTATTTGGATAAATCCATTCAAGGATATTCTATTGATTGAAACCAAAACCACCTGGAGACTACAAAAATTTTCTACATGAAAATATAAAACTGGGAAAAAAAAGACAAAAATAATGAAAAAAGATGATGACATTTTAGGGCAAATTCTATCATTCTATGTGCTTTTCAACTCACAATACAGCAAACACGAGGGGTTTGTCAGAAAACTTATGAACCAGCAAACACAATGTAGAGCTGCCTACCGTACATTGCACAACTGGAATAAAGTTATCTACTTCTCCCTAAAAATCACCTTTAAAAATTCACACACACACAAAAAAAATCACCTTTAACTTTCCTGCATCTCAATTACCTCTCCCCATCAGTAAATGGAAATATTTTCTATCCCACAGGTACTGTGAAGCTTAATTCATTAGTGCCTGCAACCATGCTGAAGTCCTTGGAAATGGAGTGCCATAGATGTCAAGTACTATACTATCATTCAAGTATCAAACAGACCTGACCCTACTTAGCTAAGGTATCTGACAAGAACAATTTTCAAGGTGCATGACTGTAAACAGCAGCATTTTATGTGGCTACAATATGCTCAAAACAAAAATTTTGCTACTAAAAATATGAATAACAGAAGTCTATTTGTCTAAACTCTCTCCAAAAGCCTCTTAGTACTACAAAGGCTATTTCTCCTGCTTCTCCCTAATAAAACATCTTGGAAGAAACTGAATATGCTGTACTCGAGCTATGCAGACAATTTTGCATCAGTAGTGCAATTAGTGGTGTTATCTTTACAAATGTTGTCTGCAATGGTTGCTACTCTAGCGATACTTGAACTCTTAGAATAAATATGAATAGCCACTTCTCAATTTTTATTGGCATCCATTCTCACTAAAACTCCACAATTAATATAAATCGAATTTATTTTGAAGGAAGTATTTCTGCTGTATGGCAAGTCAGACTGGTCTCTTCTTGATCCTCTTTTTTTATTCTCTGGAAATTGTCATTTTTATGGTTCTTTATCTCAGTAGGACCTATTTGCATTCTCAACACAGAGAAGGCATGTTGGTGACCTGTGCTCCTCTTCATGAATGGGTAGTCCCAGCAAGACCTGAAATCCATGCGTCATTAATACTGTTCATCAGTCATAGCAAGACATCTAAGTCTGCCTGCAAAAAAGGAAATAAAGACAAGCAAACAACAAAAACAAGTTTTTGCTCAAGGAGCGGGAAGGAAAGAACATGACACTTTAAGACTTCTGAATACTGTAGAACTGTTTCATAGGTCCCCAGCTGGGAACCCTGCCCTTAACAAATACACTAGATACACATACATGG